TGTTGTCTACTTTCGTTCTTGAACTCGTGTGCCGTAGTTGTCCTTTTTTCTGTTAGCTTTTGATGTTAACCTGAGACCTTTCTAGGCTGGATTGGGTCCCATAGTTGCTAGTTTGGGATTCCAGATTTATGATTTATGTGCATCCGGCATGTCATAAGATGTTATGGTATCGTTTGGGGTACGTGAATTCGGGCAAATTTTCAGTTGCTCACATCACTTTATTAAGTGCAGATATAAAGGTGGAATTGGTTAGAAGCTCAGGGAAAGAAAGGGATGTCTTTTGTTCTTTTTTATTGTTTTGTGTACACGCGAAGAAAGAATTTGAATTTTAAATTCCATTAAGTGCAGCTTAAGTTAACCCGAAAGTCCACCGAGATCAAAATTGCTCAAGTATTTGGTATAGATATTAGATTGGTTCAAACTCCTTTTTTCCTTTTTTTAGAGGTATTTATGCCAAACTTTTGTTCACTAAAGATCAACTGTTTCAGTTATATAACAAACTATTTTCTAGCTTTAAAAAGATATTCGGGATTAAAATGGGGAGTTACTTGAAAAAAATTGATGAATGGGCTTAAAATTGTATCTTACAGAAAGTAAGCTAGCATCTTTATTGGTAGGCTTGTAGCTGACTTCCTGCACCATTTGGATCTGATTTGTCTGGCTCTTCATTTCTCATGCATGGAATTATGACATTGAGAGGCTGGTTTATTTCTCAAGATATTCGCTTGTCAGGTCAAGTGCTATATGAAACAACTGCTGTCTGGGCTTGAGCATTGCCACAACCATGGTGTCTTGCACCGGGATATCAAGGGTTCCAATCTGTTAATTGACGACGAAGGAATTTTAAAAATAGCTGATTTTGGACTGGCTACTTTTTTTGATCCTGAGAAGAGGCAACCCTTGACCAGTCGAGTTGTCACTCTCTGGTACCGCCCTCCTGAACTTCTTCTTGGTGCCACTTTCTACGGAGTTGGAGTTGACCTTTGGAGCGCGGGCTGCATTTTGGCAGAGTACTTTCCGGGAAGCCTATTATGCCAGGACGGACGGAGGTATTATGGTTACTTTGTTTAATCTGTTGTTTTTCTCTTTAGGTTATCTGTTCTGTCCCTGTTAATCAATTATTCCTGATTGTTGAGTAATGAGTAATGATGTGTTGCTCCACTCTTTTTGAAACTATGTTGCATCTTCGTTTGGTACACTTATACTTGTAAGTCTACAAGTAAAATACAATAGTTCTTGTGAGATGTTATTCTTGTCTCATGTAAATGGTTTGAACTTTGGTATCTTAAATCTTCTTGATTGATGTGTTGACATTTTCTATTCATTCATATGACTTCAGTTTGACAAACACCTTTGAAACAAACACCTTTGAATTGTTTTCCTGTATAGGTTGAACAACTGCATAAGATATTTAAGTTATGTGGCTCCCCATCTGAGGAATACTGGAAAAAATATAAATTGCCAAATGCAACACTTTTTAAGCCACAGCAGCCATACAAGCGTTGTGTAGCGGAAACATTCAAGGATTTCCCACCTTTTTCGCTACCATTAGTTGAATCTCTTCTGTCACTAGATGCTGATGGACGAGGCACTGCCACCGCTGCTCTAAATAGTGAAGTAAGTACCCTCTATATAATTCCAGTTTTCTCTGAGGAAAATATAATTGTGAAGCTAAGTTTAATAATTTGAAAAGAAACATCATCTTGCATCAGAAGAAAAAGAAAAAGAAAATAATCATCAGAGTGGTTAATTAGTTCAAGGACTCTGTGGCATTCAGTGTCTACTGAAGAAGTCTTCTTAAAAATTATGTTTCTTGCCAGAAGAAACATATATCACCCTCTTGAAGTTAGCAAGTGCTTAATGCTGACTGCGTTCTTTATGATTAACTGACCTGCTGGCTGTGCCAGATTTTTATTGTGTCTAATTGCATATTTGGTGATCTGGGTACAGTTCTTTACTACCGAGCCTTTTGCTTGTGAGCCATCAAGTCTACCAAAATATCCGCCCGCCAAAGAAATGGATGTAAAGTTACGAGATGAAGAAGCTAGAAGGTTACTCTTTTACTTTTCTTCATGCTTGCTGCTTTCTCATTTGAGCATATGATAACAGATGATATTTGTTGTCCTCAGGCAAAGAGGTCTCAGTGGGAAACCAAATGCTGCTGAAGGTCCCAGGAGAGTTAAAGCTCGTGATCGAGTTGGTCGGGCAATTCCAGCTCCAGAAGCTAATGCAGAGGCTCAAGGAAACTTAGATGTACGTGAAGCTTCTCTCTCTCTCTCTCTCTCTCTCACACACACACACACACACACACACACACATCTTACCCCACTCCTTCAAAATAGAAATAACCTTAATATTTCTGGAATGTCATTTGGGCTTTTCATAATACTGAGTCGAACTGCATAGGCTTCCGCCCTTTCTTAGTTGCATCCAGGTCTTATATTCTGCGTGTCAAGGACTTCTGTTTTCCCTTTTCGGTGCAGTATACAGACATGAACCTGGAATTAAACTTCCCCTAGTTTTAGGGTTATGTTTTATGAATTTTAGGTTGAGCCTGACTTTTGACATTTCTCTGTTTGGCATGAGCTCAACTTGATTAATAGAATGTGGTGATGATATTTTTGACGATGCCAAATTTCTTGAACTATTAAGTAATGGGGTAGATCTGACAGTATTGGATCATTGCATCAGTTTACATTGGGCACCATCACCGTAATACAAACATATCAGCTAACAATTTTCCTCCCATTTTGATATTGCTATGCTTTGGTTGGGAAAGAGAGTAGTCACCACAAGGAAAATCAGTATGCGAACAGTGGCAGTAGCAGTGTTGTGCCTTAATTTTGGGTAGTGCTTGTCTTAGCTAACTCTTATATTCTGATCTTTGCTGATTTCCAGAGGTGGAGAGTGATGACACAAGCAAATGCCAAGAGCAAGAGTGAGAAATTCCCACCCCCACATCAGGATGGAGCCGTCGGATACCCACAAGAAGCATCACATAAAGGACCGCTCTCATTTCTCACGACGGATGCTTCATTTGGATCAATGATTTTGAACACAAAGTCTTCATCATCTGTTAAAAGCGTGGGAGCAGGCGGGGGCCCTTCAAGGAGGAAGAAAACAAATAGAGAAGACCCCTTGATGGCTCCACCTCGGAAGTTCATCCAGGCGTTCAAGCCTTCCTCGATAGGGCTATCGATGAATTTATTGTTTAAGAGTAAATAATCGATTCCTGAGGGTGTTTTTTGAAAGCTTAAGGTAGAGAAAGTATCGTTTCTGTCAATCTTTTTTGGCCTCCTTTGAAATTAGGTGTCTCTGTCGAGCTTAGCTTGGTTTTTCGGATTGCAATCTTATTTGTTTCCTTCATTAATTGTTCCCATTTGTTGTAATATAAACCCTTGTAAGTGTTTCGTTGTATAATCCACACAACCGAAACGCCAGAAAAGATAGTCCCACTTCTTCTGTACAGTATTTCAAATCAAGTGCTTTTCTTTGACATTGATGCTGCATTGGAGAAGGCTTGTTCCTGAAGCAAATCAGAATATATGGGGGATTAATATATAATTGCTTAGTATAGAAGCGCTCGTGAACAAAAGTGCTATTTAGATAAGCATTTTCAAACGACCCCGAACTCTCTGCAGCTTAATTATCAAATTACAATCTGGACAAAACTATTTTCCTACAAGTTAGAACATGTATTCCAATATCATTTGCCAAAACAATATCGGGAAGGGAATAGTTTCTGTACACCTTTAATTGTTTTTCTCCGTGCATACCTCTGTTTATCCAAGCTTAACCTTTTCATACGACGTCGTTTCAGTAGTTGTTTCACATGCACAGGGAACGCTCGTACATTTAAAAAAAAATTATTTATTTATTCTTTCTGAGTTTACTATTTATAATGACTCTTTAGAATTTGCATATTCCACCGGATAGAAAAAGGTTGAAAATATTTCCAGAGATATCTGATGTTGTAAATAGGTAAAAGTGTGAGAGATAACATTTGTTAGAGATAGAAGCGGAACGAGTGTAATATATCACATAAAGGACGTAGGGAAAGAGAGGAGGGGGATATTGATATTATTGTTTTTCACTCTTGATCTGATGTGTTGTAATGAAGTTACAAACATGCCTCTATTTATAGGAGTTTGGTCCGACAACTTCTTACATACAAAAAGAAAATATTTCACCTTCCCATGACATTTTCATCTAATGCACTTAATGACTTTCACCAAAGTCCATTTTGGTTAACTTTCTCAGGCAAACACGTGTGGCATTCACGCCACATTTCACTAACATCTGAATTAATATGTCAATTATAAACCGAGATATTAGTCCAAGTTTTGGGCAGGTAAGAGAGTAATTACACAAAAATATATATATACAAAACGATGGTTGAAATTTCAGAATATTTCCTGTGGAAGATGACTAATTAAGCATCAATATATAGCTAATGAAGTCTCTTCATTCCTTAGCAAAGTCAAGATGATGAGGGTTACTGAAGTTCAGAAATATCTCCTTCCTATCGGTTTTCTGGTACTAATTTAGTCGAGGATGAGGTTTTTCTCAACTCTGCCTTCCCTTCTGACTCAGATATGTTATAGACTTCTTTCTTTTTTTTTGGTAAAATTGGGGGTCAAAAGACCCAAGAAAAACAACTAACTATTAACAAAACGGGTATGAGGAAACCCAACAGCATCCTCAAAGATCAACCTATCCACAAGAGGAGGAGACTCATAAAAAACATGAAGACTAATGTAAAACTTATGGCCTAAATCTGCCATACCATCAGCTACTCTATTCTTTTCACAATAAACATGTGAAACCGAGCAAATCCAATCCCTGCGCAATAACTCCCGGCAAGCAGTAATGAGATGAGCAAGAGGGTGCATAGAGGAATTAAAATCCATTATTAAGGTAATAGCCACAGCGGGGTCCAATTCAACAAGCACTTTTCTATAACCCAATCTTCAAGCAAGAGTCAGGCCATGAAAAAGACCCTATAACTCAGCATTAAGCACACTCCCCACACCAATATTTATAGTGAAACCAGCGATCCACACACATGCAGCAGCACGTAGAATCCCACCAGCACTAGAGCACCCCTTGCCACTTTTCCTACTGCCATCCGCATTCAACTTGACATAATTAGGAGAAGGAGGATCCCATGCTAAAAAAATCCTACTCTTCACAGGCTTAGCACCAAAATTTTGCACCTCAAACCACTCTTTAGCAGCTTTAAAAATGAGAATGTAAGGTTGACTTGGGAAAATGAAATCAGACGCAAAAATGCTTAAATTCCTCAATTTTCATAACCACCAACAAGCAAAGGCAAAAACACCCCACCAAGGCAGATTCTGGCAGAGTAATCTTCTCGAAAAAAGATTCACTCTCATCCAATAATGAAAGTCAATACCAACCGAGGACAGAACAATTGAATGCATACCCAATTGATTCCACACTAACTTTGCACGATCACACCGTCGAAGAATATGATCAATAGATTCAACACAACCATCACAAAAGTCACAATAGGAATTATCAGTTATACGTCTCTTAGCTCTCTGTTCATTGCAAAGCAATCTCCCATGCAGAGTCAGCCATAAAAAATGAAGCACTCGAGGAGGTAGCTTAAGCTTCCATATATCACTCCAACTCCAATCGACAAAATCTTCATCATCAATACTTGCAAGATAAGCTGATTTAACACTAAAATTTCCATCATTTGAATGCTTCCAAATAATACAATCACTATCTCCATCGTTGAGACCAATAGGAATCGCAGAAATCTTCCAAACATATTCCTCTAGAAGAACAGCTCTCTAGGCAGAAACATTCCAACAATTACCATAGCAAAAGTCTATAACCTTTACAGCTTTAGCAGAAACATCCAAAGGAATCAAGGCCTTATTAGCGAGAATGCCATCATCAAGCCAGGCATCAAACCAAAAACTAGTATTAGCACCTGAGCCAGCCAACCCTCCAAATAAGACCATTTTCCAACAATTGACCACCATAAACCACAGCCCTCCAAGAGCTAGAAGCTACCCTACCAGTTGGCCATTTGAGAATATCGGAATTCACCCCACTTAAGTACTTACCTCTGAAAGTACTAGCCCAAAGATCATCATCCCGTTGTAACAAACGCCAACTGGACTTGGCCAAAAGAGCAGCATTCATGTACTTCATTCTCTTAAGACCCAAACCACCTTTGTTCTTCTGAAGACAAACAGAACTCCATCTAACCAAACAAGTTTTACTTGACTTCAGAAGAACCCCACAAAAATTTCCTATTCAAACCATCAATTAAATCACAAGTGCTAATTGGGAGCTTGGTTGTCTGCATCACATAAACTGGAATAGCTGAAGTAACCGCTTGAACAAGAGTAGTTCTTCCAACAAGAGATAAAGTGTTGGCTTTCCAAGCAGAGAGTCTACTCTAAACCTTGTTAACAACCTCCATATAGGTGCTGGAATTAATTCTAGAATGAATTAAAGGCACACCTAGATACTTTCCCAAGTCCTGAACAATTGGAGAGCCACAAATTTTATTAATTAGATCAACAACACTGCTGTCCACATTAGAAGAGCAAAAAATTTGAGATTTCTCAAAGCTAATTTGTTGCCCAGACAAACAACAAAAAAGTGTCCAAACCATGTTTAACCACTTTAGCTTGAGAAATAGAAGCCTCGCTAAAGAGAATAATATCATCTGCAAAAAACAAATGCGAAATGGCAGACCCATTTTTAGCCACTTTGACAGGCTTCCAACATTTATTAGAGACAGCTTCACTGATAAGATGCCCAAACTTCTCCACACATAACACAAAAAGATATGGAGAGAGAGGATCACCCTGCCTAACACCTCTCTTCGGCCTAAAACTGGTTGAGCATTCCCCATTAACTACAATCTTGTAATCCACTTTACTTACACAATCCATAATAAGCTTGACAGTCAAATCATCAATACCCACTTCAACAAGCACTTCCCTTATAAAATCCCATCTAAGTCTGTCATAGGCTTTAGACAAATAAATTTTCCAAGCCATATAGCCTCTGGCCCCTCTAGTGATGGAGAAAGTATGCAAAACTTCCTGAGCAATTATAATGTTATCAGTAATATGTCTTCCAGGGATGAAACTAACCTGATTAGGAATGATAACAGATTTCATAATAGGTTTCAATCTGTTAACAAGAATTTTGGTCACCACCTTATACAAAGTAGAACACAAACTTATAGGACGAAATTGGGAAATATCTTGAGGGCCATCAACCTTAGGAACAAGAGTGATTAAGGTACTACCAAGACCATCTGGAATAGAGTCATTCTTAAAACACTCAGTAATAAGACAAAGGATGTCAGAGCTACATAACTCCCAAAAATTCTAAAAAAATGCAGCAGGGTAACCATTTGGCCTAGGAGCCTTAAAAGCACCAATAGAAAACAAACTATCTTTAACTTCTTGAAGAGACACATCTTCTTTTAAAGCACCAAGCAAAGACTGATCGACATAAGGGAAAAGATTAGGCATCACACCGTTAGAATCAGCAAATAAAGAACAAAAGTGATGCACCGCAATCTGCTTGAGATCCTCCTTATCCTCCACCCACACCATCATTATTCAACAAACCTTCAATTTTGTTCCTTCTCCTTCTAATGATGGTAGAAAGATGAAAGAACCTTGTATTCCTATCTCCCTCTTGAAGCCATTTAACTCTTGATTTTTGCTTCCAAAAAATTTCCTCCTGCTCAAGAAGATTATTATATTCCTTAGATAAGGAAGTATTTAACCTCAACAAAAAAAGGCCAACAATTATTACATAGAGTCTTTTGAACACCCTCTATTCGAGCAAGTAACCTTCTTCTCTTCCACTCAAGTCGACCAAAAATATTTTTATTCCACCATCTCAGCTTACCAGAAAGAAAACGAAGTTTCTGATTTATACCAACATCTTGGGACTTCCAATTAGACTCCAAATAATGCTTGAAACTCTCATGCTTCAACCACATAGCCTCAAATCTAAACGGTTTAAACTCTGGATTAGGAATATGCTTGCTTTCCAAAGTGATGAGCACAGGAGTATGATCAGAAATAGTTTTTGCAAGGTGTTTGATATGGGCTTCAGGAAACATCTCCCTCCAACCAATATCACAAATTGCCCTGTCAAGCCTTTCAAAGACTCTTACACCATTTTTATTAACACCATCCCAAGTGAAAATGGACCCGAAAATCCCAAATCCACCATAAAATTAGCATCAAACCAATCCTTAAAACCACCTCCAGAGCCCCCCTTCCTTTCATCACAGGCCAACAACTCATTAAAGTCTCCAGCAAGAAGCCAAGGAAGATCACATCTAGACTTAAAATTATAGAAAATTTCCATAAGGCTTTTCTCTTTTTAAGAGCAACTCCAACCATCCTTGCTGCTCAGGGGACAGGCTCCAGGAAAGGGCCTGAGGGCCGGTGGGAGGAGGTCCAGCAGTGAAGGGCCCGAGTGAGGGTGGGAGCTCGAGTTGCAGGCCCGTGGAAAATTGACAGGCCTGGTCCCCGAGCCTTGTGACGTCACGCTGACGCCAAGGCTGGGTCCGGCCTTTTTTTTAATTTTTTTGTGTCAGGTGCGTGCCCCTCACTCGCGAGTGGGGGCGCGTCGCCCGACAGGATTTCAGGGGGGAGGGCCCGCGCGCTCAGACATCCCAGTTACCGTTGGGAAGCCACGTGGCTTCCCACGGTCCGTTCAATCCCAACGGTTCTTTAATAAGAACCGTCCGATTTGCAACGGTAATAAAAAAAAAAAACTGATTTTATATCAATCGTTCGATCTGAGATCAACGGTTGATATTAATCTGCTTTATAAATTAAAAAAAAAAGAAAAAATAGTTTTAAAATTAAGAAAAGTTACCGTTGTGACACGTGGCACAATCTGGAGTTTTGGAATTCAAATTTTTTAAAATCCAACGGCAGAGATTAATTTTTTGAATAAAAATTAAAAAAAAAATTGTAAAAAATCTGAAAAAATTGTAAAAAATCTGAAAAAAATTTGTAAAAAATTGTTTTTACTTTTCTATAAATTTGTAAAAAAATTGTAACGACACGTGGCACGATGACATTGGATAAAAATCTTATCGAAATCCATCACTAAATAATTGTTTTTTTTATAAAATGACACGTGACGCAACGAGAACGATTTAAAAAATCTTATCCGAAATTACAAATAATTTTATTTTGTATTATTTAAACAAACAAAAAAAACTAATATTTTATTGCCTATTGCCAGGGGGAGGGCTCCAAGGGTAGAGATGCAAATGGCAATTACTGTTCATTAATGACAATTACTATTCATTAAAGGCAGTTACTGTTCAAAATGGTGGATTCAATAGTGGATTGCCAGGGGGAGGGCTCCATGGGTGGAGTTGCTCTAATATCAGGGCTGCCATAAATAGCAGAAAAATAACAACTACGCTTACAATCATAAAATACTTGAACAGTAAGAGCTTGCTCACAAGCTACTTTAGTCTCATTCCATTAAAGCCAAATACCCCCAGAAAAACCCGTAGCATCCACAATCTCCGAAATTTCGAATAATCTCTTTTGCTTTATCCCCACTGATACGGGGTTCCACAACAACCAACAAATCTGTTACAGACTTCTTTCTATTTGCTGTTGTTTAAGATTTAGTTTGTGTCCTTAATTTAAGTACTGTCTTACTACTATAATGTGTGGTTTCACTGTAAATAATTACTGTGATTTTCCGATAATCCGTCATTATATAAATGATGTGAAATTTAATCTGTATTAGTTAATGTGATTTTCTTGTGATTTTGGACAGTTGATATCTGATAGCTTCTTTTGTTAACTTGACACCCAATCTATTCAAAGTATATATATATATATTCTTTTGTTAACTTGATAGCTTCTTTAGTGTGTAAAATTAGCATTGCATCCAAATCTCAGTCTCTTGGATACAAGAATCTCTAAGAAATCTATCCAAAAGGCGTCTAAACCCTCGTGGATTTCTGTCTCTTTCTTTGAGGTTTAAGAAAGATTTGTTATATAGGTGTCTGTTAGGCCAGTTGGATGGGGTAGCGTGCCTTTTCCCTTGCACCTAAGTTTAAATTCACCTCCGTGAATTAAAGTAGTTTAGAATAAGGTTAGGCGCCCTCTTGTCCTATGCCAAAGTTTGAATTACTCTCCTCAAAAGTGGTAGTTGAAATTTTGAATGAAATATTTGAGTTTTTTGAGACAAGTAACTTTGTTCACCACCTTTAGTCAGTTGTCTGCAACCTCCATGCATGGATTATATCATTGTAGAAATAGTTAAAAATTTGCATAATATTTTTGTTCATCACCTTAGTGAGTCATGGCCCAGAATTGCAGGAAAATGAAAATCTCAATGGCCAAGAACAAGAAAGAGATCCGAAGGAAAAGTATGAAAATAATACTGTCACTCTTCTTGCTCATCTTCATGGACAATCACTCAAGCCAACACGTTCTCTTACACGCAGCTTCATCCTGCACGACAGTATAGGTGCAACTCCCATCCTGCAGTTGTGATTAATGGCTTGTGGGGACTTGGAGATTTTGAACTGAAGGCCTCGTGGAACCGCAGCTCTGATATCATATGTTGGACAACCACTAAACCTCAACCGCTATTAGGGAATGGATCAACAATGTATATCAAGCGTACAATTCCTAGCGCGATCAAGTGGCTGCAGATTTCTCGGCCAGATAGGTGGCTCTGTCGTGGCCACCACTGCAACCTGGGTAGTAGCATCCTTTAATGTTCAATAGATTCTTTACGCCGAATCCATTTTTCACTCTTCTCCTTCTCCTTCCTTTCTTCTTTGTCTTTGTTACCTGGCCCTGAAAACATGAATGAAACATTTCGGAACAAAATCACAAACTTTTTTCTGCTTAATAAATCAATTACTTAAAATGCTCATAAGATATTTACATCATGGTGATCAGTCATTGACGCTACGCTATCAACATTGCTGTCTGCAGACGCAGCACTTGGCGACTTCTTGTGCTTGAAATCCTCATCTGTAGTGCTGTCATACTTGCCTGCATTTGTATGCATCAATTCCACAAATGTTCATATTTTTTTATGAAATATTCAAATGTGCTACAAAAAAGTTGCATCCAATTTTTCTGTGCCAAAACTTACTGCTATCATTTTCAATTTCCAGAGCTTCCATGCAATAAACTCTAAAACTTGGTGACGCGGGACACATAAAAAATTCGCTGTTTGTTCTAATACCACCTTCATTATCTTCGTCCTCTTCCTCTCCCTCTGTGGTGTCCTCCATTGCAAAAACCCCTCCTACGTACACATTCACACCCTTTGGTTCCTTATGATCTTCAACGCTACATTCCGTCCCATCTGTCTTGATCTGCTCCTTGTTTTGGTTCTCATCATCAGCCTGTTTTGTGCCTTTGTCATGCTCCGGCGATATTGGTGCAACCTTGGACTTGTTCTCCAATGTTGGTGGTATCTTCGGACGTGTTATTTTGTCGGACTCTGGGGATGACCGCAGCGAATGAGGGAGAGAGTTATCAACCTCCTCCTGATCACCGTCCTTAAGTAGCTGTTTCTTGGAGAGAGTACTAGCGGCTTTTAGCTTTCGTGCCTTGGACCGGCTCTTCATCTCCTCGAAGCGCCTCTGCAAGAGGGAACGGATTCGAGGAGGCACAGCCTCGGCTTCTGGTGTGAGCTTTGAATTTTGGCCACCCATTAGAGAGGACAACAATGGGGAATGGCCACAAACGGTAGGAAGAAGAGAAGTAGAAGATAATTGGATTTGGAAAAAAAATGAGTCGAAGGGAGAATATGAAAGAGATGGGTCAAAGGCAGTTAATTGGTTAATTATAGGATAAACTTCATGTTCCTTGACAGTTAGGCAACAAAAAAGAAATATAATAATGCAAATATTTGGTTTGGCTAACTGTTAAATTATAGAAAATTGTTGGGGTTTTGTAAGCAAACTTACTATATTTGTAATTTGTAGTTGTAAATTTGTTTTTGTTTTATTTTTTATTTTTGTTTTGGGGCCATTTATTTCGGATGTTGAAAGAGTCATATGCAGTACCTTGCCAGCTTTGTTTATTGCTACCAACGGTGTGTTGCTAGCTTCAACAAAATTTCAGTTCTAAACCCTAATTAAGGCAACACATTTCAGTTCTAAACCCTAATTAGAGATGGATTTTATGTCCAAAATAATTTTAATTGAAAATGTAATGTGATGTTAGAAAATTGAATATTTTCAACTTAAGAAAAAAAAAAAAACTCAAGCTCATTTTTTTGACATATCAAGCTAATTTGTTCGTCATGTTCAATCTCCTTATTTTTTTCACTTTCTTCTCTAAGTTTTTATTTTTATTTTTTGTTTTACTTTTATATAAATAAAGATCTAACTCATTCAGATTAACCTAATTTTGAATGGACCATTTTGTGACGACCCGTCCCTACTTTTAACTGTAATTTCTTTTCCGTTGGTGTGAATTGACGATTGTACCCTTTTTCGACAAAAGTGGAATATGACGTGGACGTGATTTACGGTTTTCAGTTTCATTTTATTGGTTTTGTACTAAAATAGTACTCGTCTTTACGAATGCGTGAACGCGAGTTAGACCTGAATCAGATTTGTAACAAAGAAGTTACGTTTCGTTAAAGTGCGTTAACTACGGGTATTTTTGTACACGCGCGTACAAATTTACAGTGTCAAAAAAGTGTCAGGAGGACAAATTTTGTACATTTAAAATTGTACAAAATCCATCCCTTCCCTAATTGGTGGATCTATGTCCCCTCTCTTTCACACAAGCAACCAATCAAACTTTTGCTTTTTCATTGAATCTCTCATCACCACCCAATCAATTGTTTTCCCTCTTTTTTGCTCACCAATTAGATTTCACTCTCACCTTTCTCTCCCCCAATCAGTTTGTAAAGATCTCTCTCTTCTCATTCTCTTTCTCTCAAACTCGCAACCTCTTTTACCCTGCAACTCCTTTAAACAGACACCAAACCTTATAAACGTGACCTAAAAACCACACCATCAAACTCTTCTCACCACCATGAACACAACCATGCCCTTGGATCGTGGTTTGATTGAGTTTTGGACATTGAACTCTGAAGGTCTGACTCGGCTTAGTTTTTCCCTGACGAGTTGCGAACGAGTTACAAGTTTTTAGGAAGTTTAAAGGCCTCCACTCAACTCCTCGAGGTCTTTATAGTGAATGTTTGAGCAAGCTTTGACGTGAAACATCTCGGTTTCAAGAAGTTGAGTTTTTAGCTGAACCTTTCGAACCAATTTCAGGCCTTTTCCCGTCCATTCTTGGACTTCCAAAAGGTATAATCTGATTCTACACTTCATAAGCTTCATTTCTATATAAATTTTATGAAAAAGTTGAGAAATGAAGAAGATATGAAAGTTTGAAATTTTACCTAGAAACCGGCGAAAATTTCCAGATTCCGGCAAGTTCAAACAACAGAAACCAACGAGGCCCATCAGAGAAGACAACAGAATATTTTGTCAAAGTTGATGGAATATTCTAACGGCGTTAGGTAACGCCGTTAAACTCTGTTAATTATTTAACAGAATATTCTGTCAAACTGACAGAATATTCCTAACGGACGTCAGGGCCTTGCCTACACGTGGTAGTGCGTATGGCCGTGCCTTAGCTGGCGCGTGGCGGCACGTCCGGCCTCCGATTGACCTTCTGTCAATTTGTATAGGTTCGTGACGTCAAGTAGATCGATTTCATATATTCAAACCCTATATTTGAGCAAGCTACAGAGGTTTTATTTAAGTTTCCGTTTATGTGTTATTAAACTAAGTTAATTAGTAAATTCATATATAGGGAAACGTATCCTGAGGGCGTACGGGGTCAAGTAAAGCTTAGAGGCTTCATTTTGACTACGTATCTGTGAGTGGGCAGTTTGTTTTTATATCTATACATAGTTATAGTTTCCATAAATGCGTATTTACTCCATTTTTATGCTTATATTGCCAAGTATCGTTATTGTGATATTAAATGTGATAAATGCTGCTATATGGTTGGGATATTACTGTCATGATATTCATACATAATTGTACATGCTTATCATTGCTGCACCCTTGTGTTAGTACTCGCCCCAGGGCGAGGGCCAGTCCTTCACGTGTATGTTCACATCTGCACCGTTCGCTTACCTTGGATCCAAGTTAGGTGCCAGTCCTGTCATACATATTGCATTAGGCAATTTCAACTCGTATGTGACCGTGCTTCGGCACAAGCCTTCACGTGATTATAATACTAAAGCATATTGATTACACATAATCCTATTCATGTTAGAAATTATCTATATGAACTCGTGTGTCAGCTTAGATGGATGATCACTTAGTTACACATGATTATATTACTGCGGCATTTGATATATCATGACTTGGCATATTTATGGTTACATTGCTGTTGTACTTTTGTTACATACTTACGTAGTATGTTTTATGGAAACTATACTTGTTTTATAGTGAGGGGTTACTATGTTTGAAAATAAAGGTTTTCTTACAAACATTGTTTTGCTAACCCACGCAACTTTGTTTTTCGCCCTTCTAGGTTTAGTAGCTGTGCTTATGTGTAAACGAGGATTTTGGAAAATCTCAGGAGATGGTTATTTTCAGTGGTATAATCCTCATCCTATTTACTATACTGTCTTATGCTCTGACATCACATGTGAAATGGGTTCAATCCCGCTCACCTGCGCACTCTTTTTATTAGGCACTTTTAGGTTTAAATTTATTCACATCCTTTTCCCACTACACTACAATTTATGGCTTCGTCACCTTCCAGGTGTCGGTCAGCACAATTCAATTCAGAGTCCAAGTGGACATTCCGGGTCGGGGTGTGTCAGTTTGGTATCATAGTATAAGTTTGGGCAGTATTGCATTCATCACACATGTGATGTAAGCATTCTTGGTTCTTGAACCTAAGTGTTGAATCTTGCCACCTCGTCGAGCATGAAAAACGTGCTAACTTTTCCCTAAGTTTTGGGTACTTTAGACGACTTGTCTTCATTTTGGAAAATCATTTTGGCAATCGCCCCTAGACTTTAAACGACGAATCTTCCTACCAAGGAAGTTTCATTTTGGGGAACGAGTTGCTAGCCCCACAGCCGGGCTAATGCATCAAGAGTTGAGTTTCAACAAGGATTTATCGATCAATCCTATTGCTTTTTTCCCACTGTTTTTACTAACCCTTCGAGATAGGAAATCAGAAATGGTTTTGTTTCTTTAGTAGAACCTTTTAGTATACCATCTCTTAGAATTCCTATGAAGTTTATTTCGTCAAGATTCTAGAAATGTCTTGAGCGATAACCTGGTGCTAAAGTGGTAGCACTCTGCGGAAGATCATCTAAGGGATAATCACTTTTGGTCCCTGTTAGCACTAATATCTTCAAACGTACTGGTGGTCATGCTGGATCTTCATGAGGAAGATGGACTCCTGATAAAGTTCTTTTTAAAGTAGATCTTTAGCAAGATCTTTTCCAGCCTTGGGACTTTCCAACCAACTCTAATTCCCAGACTTTCTTTTTGATGTTGTACTCATCTTTTGAGTGAGTATAGGCTTATAGGTATGAGTTGTCATATCCTGGGAGTAGCAGAACTCCCAAAAGCAGTAACCAAATCCTCATAGAATCAACAAACTACTTCACTTGACTAGTTCCTTTCCAATTACCCGAAGCTTACTACCGAACGGGCTCTAACCCGTAATTAGCCTACGGTGACGCTACTAATTGACGATGTTGTCTGATATCTAGAGACCGTTGACCAGCATTCGTGAAGGATTATTTTGTGAAAACATGTTCTTTTGAGCAACATCATATAGCATGCAATTAACAATTAAAGGCGGAATCATGCTTGCATGCACTCAAAAACAAAACATTACCCATGAAATTCAAAGCCTAGTAGATTGGTGAACCAAGAATCAACTAAAAAACAAAGTGAGTTGATAAATAATACCTTTGTAGATTCCTCTTTGCATAAGCAAAGGCTAATCACCCAAAGAGATAGGGCCTTCATTCCTTGCTTCTTAGATCCATGGATTTGGATGGAAGAATAGGTTCTCCAAGTTCCCAAAATTGAGAACCTCTAAGTCTCTTCACCAAGGTTAGATTGTAGAAGAAATGAGTGACCTTGGAGTAGTAGGATTGCTAGATGTACCCTCCAAGGTGTCGGCCTCTTTAGAGAGAAATGGAGAGACAATTCTCACCAATTTTCCCAAAACAAAACCCTTAATGAATTTTGGCTATAAAGTCATATTTATACCTTAATTCATTTGAGTGGCAAACTTGTAAATAAGTCCAAGTTCACTACCCTTTCATCATGGCCGGCCATATTAGGATTTTTGGTGTAATTGGGCCTTTGTGAATCAATATTCATTAAGTTGTCATACAACTTAAGTCAATGGACTTGACGTTCGAAGCCCATTGGGCCTTAAGGTCCAAAACTATCCCCGAGGTCTTTAACGAACTTATTCGTTTGATTCATTAACATATTAATTAATCCTTGCCATAAATCAATGATTAAACCATTTAATCATTCTTACTCATCTCCGTTTAATCTTCAATCTCCACCTTTTATGGTGAGCGATCTATTAGGTTCCTTTTAGCGAGGTAGTGGGCGATTAAAACCATTTTACATCGATTGTGAATTGAAACTATTTTCAATTCTCCCTTTAGTGATTACACATGTTTAGGGCTTCCACAAACCATGGTTGACGCCTAGCAGCATGTCATGGTTACCCAAGCTAATCAGAAGAGGTTAGAGAACCTATTCAGTTTGAGATTACAAATGCAATACGG